ATTAGCTAGGGAGGAGCAGGAGCCTCTTGGAGAGGTGCCCTGAAGCTGTGGAGGCAGGTCCACGTGGCTGGAATGATTTAGTGTCAGTAGCTGCCCCGAGATCAAGGCAAACGTGGAGGAAGCCGTTGGCTGCATGGAGCAGATGGCATCATATAGCTGGGTCGTGTTGTGGCTAGTGACTCCCTGTGCCATTGCTGGGAACGGGGAGATAAGAGACGGGGGTGGGCGGCGGTCTCTGGGTGAGGGGTGGTGAGGTGGAAAAGGTGCCAGAGGTCAGGGAGTCGTGTGGGATGGGGAAAGTGCTGGTGTCAGTGGGAAGAGGCTGGGTCTAGAGGGGATTGTCTGACCCCAGCTGGGCTCTCTGCAGCCTCACAGATGTGCCCCTGGGGGGCTCCAGGGTTATTTCTCCCCACTGGGCGCTGGGGAGAGAGTTGAGAGGCGTCGGTTGGATTTTCTGACTGACAGAGTTGAAGGAAGGGCCAAGGGCTCCACCCCAGAACTATGAGGTAAGTTCTCCATCCCAGGGCATCATTCTAGTGGGTCTGTAACGGGGTGGGCGAGGCTCTGTGGCCTGCAGTGTGTAAGTCGGATGAGATGCTCAGGACGGTCTCTTCTTGCCTTAAAGTTATGAGGGTGGCTCTAGTTGGGGAATGTGCAGGGCTTGCTGTGGGGGATTCTCTAGCCTGGGATATGCCGGAGGCCAGACTAGAACGGGCCCTGCTGGCCTTAACACCTGTGAATCTAGCTCTGAGACCCTCAGGAGTTTCTGCCCTTTCCAGACGCTCTACGTTTCCATGAGTTACCTGCCATAGCTGTCAGCTTGAGAGAGCCCAGGTGAAGGGGACATCCCCTCTGTGACTGCAGAGGCCCCTCAGTGCCCTCTGCAGCTGTGCCCCTGCGTTTAGGGGCAGGGTTGGTGAGTGGCTCTTAGGAGGAGCGAATACTTCACGTGCCTACAGAGGAATTGCTTTTATTCTGGTTTCCCCTGGGCTGGAATGGGGCTTGGAGGCAAGGCAGAAGCCTGGTTGGGTGGTGGGACTTTGGTGCACAGACGTGGGGAGCCTGGTGCCCTATTGGATTGAGCTTTCTCAGCCTCCTGCTTTGGGCTGGTTTCCTCTGGCTGCCTTCTCTGGGGCTTGCTTGCCTGCTGCGTTCAGCCTCTTTGAGCTCTGCTCGCCCCAGGAGCAGAAAGGCCCAAGTGATTTGCCATCTGTAGCGCGGCTCGGGAGCACAATGCAGGGTTTCTCACACCACTCTGGGTTTGTTGTGCAGCTGTGGAGTTTGAATGTGAGTGTTTAAACAAGCTGGTATTACTCAGGAAATGGCCACCTCCACAGGCTTGGAACATGGGGTCATTGTACTTGCATGAATCACCAGGCAGCCTGCTCCCCCTGTGAAGATGGTGGCTTATGTGAAAGCACTGCATAGCTTTGGCCCTGTCCAGGGGGACTCAGCGAGTGTCGGGCTGTGCTTACCACACAGAGTTGTTAGCAAGAGCTGCCTATTCCTGCCCCGCTGACTGTTCAGGGTGTTGGCCTCTGGAGGCAGTAGGCCTGGCTGTTGTGATTGTACAGGTCCAGCCCTAACCCTCGTCTTGGGAGTTCGTTTGGCCCCTGGGTGCCCTTGTCCATGCATGTGAGCTGTGTCCGCTCCATCCCCTGTCGCCCTGCCGCTGGGCTGCACTCATGCTGGCAGCTACATTCAGCCTGGGTTCTGAGACAGCAGAAAGTGAGCTAACCCTCGCTTGGCTTCCTCCATTAGAAGCCTGGAGAGCTTCGTTCTGTTTACCTGGGAACTGTGCGCTCCGGGGCTCGGGGTCAGCAATTCTGCAGAGCCCTCTGCAAAGGCTCCACAAAGAGGCCTGTTGCAACTCAGTTATTGTGTACGTACAGCAGGTGTGGAGGGTTGGATCTCCGAGTCTGTGCACAAAAATGCCCTGAATCACAACAATCCAGTCAAGGTGACACAAGCCAGCCAAACCTAGAAACCGTCACTGGGACCCTGGGGGCCGAAGGAGAAAGCACCTGGCCAGGTTCCCAAGGATTGCACGTCCCTCTAGGACAGTCTCCTAAGGGCTCAGGCAATGAACTTTTTGATTCTTTGGCCATCACCTGGACCTGGTGCTGGGTGTGTGGAGCCTGGAGAACTGCCCAATCCCGTAGTGGCGTACATGCCGACACACAGGAAGGAGGCAGCTGCACAAGATTCTGTCAGATGCACTCCCAGCTAAATCCCCATCATTGAGTGTCACAGCTGGAAACCAGGGCGAAAACAGCAAAGGAAAAGCACTTCTCGTTCCATCCTTATTGCCAAGGTCCCATGCACGGCCAGCCGCTTCACACCTAATGGGTGCAGCCCAGCTCCTGCTCTGAATTACACAGCATCCGCGTCGATAGCTCATGACAGAATTGCCCCAACCGTCAGTTTGATTGAGGGGACCATAGAGTGGAAATCTGACACGTACCATGGAAAGGGCGGATCTGCTGAGCCATTGCGAAACTGGGGGGAGCAGGGAGGATGCTGCGGAGCAGTGGCAGCAACTCCTGTCCCGGTGGAAGGTCTGGGGGGCCCTGCACTGGAATAGGGGGCTGGAAGGGTAAACTCCTCATCAGTGGGGCTGGAGCACTAGCGACCACGGAGGGAGGGTGCTGTGCAGAGCTGCTAAGCCTGCAGGAGGGGAACGCCCCAGCTCTGCCCCTTGCGAGATTAGCGAGCTCTCTTAAATGCAGTAATGTGAGTTATGTGACCATTTGTATGGCCTGAGGATGGCGTTGGACGCTGAGCCTGTCGGGGGGCCAAAGGGCACGAATGTCACGTCAGGAGTGTTTCTGCAGCGTGTTGATATGCCTCTGCCTCCCCCACCCAAAGAGAAGTGCTCCCTGCCATGTGCCCGGTCCTCCTCCCCAACTGGCATGGAGCATTCCCTGTTGTGTGTCCTTCCCCTCCTTGGCCATAGATGTCTGCCACCAGCACCCTGTCGGCCCTGTCCCAGCCCCTGGTCTGGGACTGCTCCCCCGGCACCCTGTGTCATCCATGCCCCCCACTCCTGCTGGAAAGGGGGCACTCCCTGTCCGGGTCCCCAGCCGATCTGCAGCTGTTCTCGCTGCTCATCCCGGTGTGGAGCAGCCCTCTCAGTCTGAGGGCCAGGAGTGCTATGTGACCAGACCCATGCAGCAGGGCACTGGGGGAGGGCTGAGCCTTTCAACCCCTGCGTGTCTCCCATGGGCAGCGCTCACGTTGGAGGTGGCCCAGAGCAGCCCTATCACATCCGGTGCTTGTCTCTGCAGCCTGGGCTGAAGGATAAACTATCAGAGCTGTGGGGCAGTGGATCATTCCTCTTATTATTTTCTTCTTTGCAGATGGGGTCGTGGAAAGTTCAGTTCCTTTTAACCCTCACAGCTCTGTTTATTTTCCAGCTGGTAGCACAAATGCAGTGTTTCCCATTACATCACAAAGGGCCTCGGACAGATCCCTCCGAAAAACGTGTTGCAACTGTTTATTTTTTTCCATATTTAAACAGTTCTGACAGCCAGACCTGGCCGAGCCAAGTGATGGAGCTTTGTGAATGAGCCCAGCTCCTGGTGTCTGTGCAGAGAGGGCTTCGAAGGCCCTCTTCTCCTTTGCAGCTTGTTTGCCGGGGCCGGCTCGGGGATGTGGGTGACTCTGCTACACGTGTGCTGATTATGTGCTGGGCTTTGATTAATGGCAGCTCATTCCGTCCAGTTCCCAGGACGCTCTTGAAAACAAGATGTTTCATTTCAGTGCACTTTCCTGGTACATTGATTGCCATAAATAAACGAGTGCAGACTCTGTCCACCTGGAGCAGTTCACGGAGCAGGGGGCCTGCTCCAGCCCCTTGGCTGCCTCTGGCTGTGGAGACAGTCCCATCCCCCTGCCATTGGTCTCTGTCCTGCGCCTCACAGTTCATCAAGGAGGCACAGATGGGCACAGCACAAGGCTGCTGTCTGGGACCCGAAGGCGTGGGGAGCCCAGCTCAGTGTGCTGCTTTCCCTTCCCCATCTCCCGCCTCGATCTAAAATCCCTGCTTTCTTGTGTGAAATCATTAACAAGTAGCAGTTGGTTGTGAGCTTGTAGCTGTGCGGTTGGTCCGCTGCCCGAGTGTGCCACTGTGCACCTATTCTGCCCCCGCGCCCCACCTAGACCCTGGGGGCACTGGGCTCCAGCTGCCCTCGGAGGAGAGCAGAGGCTACAGGCAGCTGCTGAACTGCTCAAGGCTTTGTGTTGACAGTCTGGGCTCTGCGTGTCACTGGTGCTCGAAGAAGGTGACACACCACACAGGCAGCTTTGCTCCAAAGTGTTGAAATTGTGACCAGAAATGAAACAAGGTGTTACATCTAGTGACTGGCATTTAAAGACAAAGCCCCTGAGGTCCCGCATGGCCACAGCATGTGATGGCAGATAGTGACCTGGGCTCTGTCTGCACTTTGTGAGACACAGATAGGGCCCTGGGGACATCAGCTTCTAGGAGGGGTTGGAGAAAATAGGCTGTGTCTCAGGCAGGGCTGGAGCTGTGGCTGCAGTAGAGGAGAGGGCCATCCTGAGGCTGCCCAGGAGGTGACTTCCCCCTTCCCAGACATAACATGGAGCATTACTCCTCTCTGGAGTGAGCTGGATTATTTTCAGCATCACCTGGGGCTTTGGGTGGGGTAGATGCTTCCCCATGTCTCCGTACCAGGTTGGGCTTGCAGGGGGGGCTGTACTCTATGTGTGTGTGTGGGGGGGGTATCCTGGGAGCTTCCTGGTCCACAGTAGAGGAGTAAGGGGGGCTTTTGACTGTCCTCACCTGCAGAGTGGGTAGAGGGCTTGTGTTAGCAAGTGCTGGGCTCACTGCTCGGGGTAAAACCCATGGGGCTGCACTCCTACCCTGAAGGGTATGTGCTGGGAGGTGCATCTTGCCTCATCTCACCTCCCTGATCTTTGCTGTGATGATGCAGAGAACATGCCAGAATTGCTCACATCTCTTCCCCTCGTTCTCCCAGGGTCTCAGTGGATGTGTGGGCGACACTGGCCGACTTCTGTAACATACTGACCACAGTGAATCAGTCGGAGGTGCCGTTGTACAAGGACCCCGATGATGACCTTTCCCTGCTCAGCCTGGAAGAGGATCGGCTCCTTTCGGGCTTTGTCCCCCTGCTGGTCGCCCCCCAGGAGCCCTGCTACGTGGAGAAAACCTCGGACAAGGTCAGCACTAGGCCAAACATCCCCCCTTGATTCCTCCAGACTTTTATTCTTGGGAAGTTTTCTGTGCAAACGGAACACGATTAAGTCATTGAGAAGGGTGTTAAGGGAAAATATCGACCTTTTAGCCGCTGACATCCAGCTCTGTGTCATGAAAACCCCTCTCGACTTCCTCTGGTGTGTGTGTGTGCTCGCTGGCATGTTGTATATACGATCATTTCCTCACTTGTTTAAATAGTGCAGCTTGTGTTGGCAGCGCTCTCACTCCACTCCAAATGGTTTGCATCATGCTTAACGCACCCTCCCCCTCCCCCGGCCACAAAACTCTGGGCTAGGAAAGCAGCCAGGGCTTTTTTCCTTCTCTAAAGAGGAGAGTGATAAATAGGTGACTAGAGAGAAGCAGACACCATGTGTTAACGTACAAAAGGCTTTTAGGAATATAAAGCATTCCCTGCTGCCCACTCTCTATTTTCCTTTCTTTGCTCTAGGAGCCCGGTCTAGCCTGAACTTTCTTCGGCTGTTGGTTTTTAGACTAATGAAATCAGCTCCCTTGTTGGTGTGGGGCTTAGGTTCCATTCTGTGCCACCGCCCGGCCAGGGGGGATGTGGGGGCTGGGGCTGAGAAGGTGCCTGCACTGGCCACGTGCACTCCTGCTGGGGGTGGAGAGAGGAGAGTGACATGGGGTTGGGGACCACACGGGGCAGGGCAGGAATGAGGAGTGGAGCTTGTCAGTCCCCTGTGTCTGGTGCCTGGGTGAGCCCTGCAGGGCAGCATCCCAGAGCTGGAGCTGTCACTCTCACAGGAGGATGTTGTGGTGTTTCCCTGAGCAGAGAGGACTCTAGGAAGAGAAGTGGAGCTGCTGGGACCAAGTCTGTAAGAAAGGTGGGTAAGCTGGGGCTGGCCAGAGATGTGCATTTCCAGGTGTCACTTCTCCACGACCTGTTCCTGAACTGACTGTGAGAAATCTGGGACCCTCGTGAGAAGGGGAACCTCAGAGGTGCTAATTTCTGTTTCACTTCCCTGTCTGCCCTGCTGCCCCTTGTAACGCTGCACTGGGGCAGAGAGGAGAATACAATCACTGTCCCTGTTTCAAGAAGCACCTCGCTCCAGGAAGGGACCATCCGAAGAGGCTCTTTAGGGGCATATTCCTGGGGTTTAAAATAGCAACCCTGCAGTCGCTATTTCTTTCCCCCCGGGAAGCTGGCTTGTGTTGGTGGCCTTGCAGACTGGCTTGGGCTTGGTTTCTCTGGGCGGGAGAAGGCAGTCTGACTCAGGCCATATAGTCAGCCCAAAGCTGACACGGGCACCTGCAGTCCCAGCATCCCAATCTTAGCATCGAACCCGTGACAGAAACGGCAGACAGCCAGACAGGGTGCTCTGGCCAGAGAGCACAATGTACCTGCTGTGTCGGCATTCCCTGGACTTTGCCATTTCCCACTGGGCACCAGAGGCATTCGGATTACCCTCCCCAAATACTGACATGCTCAAAGCATTGTCCCTTAGCCCTCAGTGAGCTGCAGAGCAGCCACAGAGCTGAGGTTTTCTCCCTTCTTGGTCCCCAGTGGGGGATGTAAAGAGAACTGTGGGGAAAAGGGGGGGGCGTGTCTTGCACAGCGAAGCGGCATCCACCCAAACAGCGTGGGTTTTCTAGGTTGTTGGTAGAGAATGTGAAACTGCCCCTCTCAGTTCTGAATTCTCACACTTTGCTGCTTAGGAAATGTCTCTTTGTTTCCTTTGCAGCCAGTTCTTCACAGCCCCCTGTTTCATTTGCACGGGTGTTAAACACATTGCCGTGTTCCCCAGACTCTGCATGTGGCAGTCATTTTATCTAAACACAGCAAATACCTAGGAAGAGAGAGACATTTGGATTTTAGCCCCTCTCTGATAATACCTGAGATTGGACTGCAAGTCTTTGGGGCAGGGTCTGTGTTTTTATCTTAAATAATAAATTCTGAGCATTGCGATTGCCAGTTCTTCTGTTCGTTCCCTCAGTCCCATTCTATGGTAGAGTGCTGCAGTCCATCAGAGCCTCTTCACAGCCAGCATTTCTCAGCGGGTCACTGGACATTTGGCTTCCATCTTGCTATGGATGAACATGTTCCACACCTTTCGTTGCTGGGAGGCTCTGCGGTTGGATTCATGCCGGAACCAGCATGCTGTTTAGATTTTTCTGTCTTCTCATGCACTACCACTGAAGCTGTCACCTTTTCCCCTTATAAAGCCAGCTTATCACCAGCTCAAGCTCCCCCATAAGTGTTCATTCCGGGCTGAGCATTGCATGGTGGTGTTTTAATTGGTGTGTGTTGGGCGAATACCTGCTGAAACACACACTTGTATGCAGGACTTGTGCAGTGGAATATAGTGACGCATACCGATCAACTGCAGTCTACATAACCAGCAAAGTGAGACTTCATACTGTGCCTACAGGTTCACAGACTATGGGCATCTTGTCAGGGCCTGTCCCCCTTCACTGGGAGCTGGTCCCATGCCCCTAGCATCAGGCTCTTACCTAGCTTTGCTCCCCAGGGCAAGTGCTGAGTAGGATGGTGTGGTGGAGTGAGGCTGCTGGCAGAGGTGAAGGTAAAGAATGAGGGTTTCATCTGTGCCTGCGTGGTGCTGGTGGTGGGGGCTTCCAGTGGCAAACATTGGATTGCACTGAAAACAGAGCCCATCTGCTCTGTGCACTAGGGGCGTTCTCCCGGGAGTCTTGGGCATCTGATGGTTTCTTCTGCGCTCGCTGGCCATTGATTGCAAGAGGGCTCCTGTGGAGTTGGTGGTAAGGCTGTGACTGGGCTGTGGAACTCCCAGGTGGGGAGAACGGCCCGGAGATCTCCTCTGGGGTCATTCTGGAGACTTATTTGGATGCTCATCATCACTCAGTGTGCGTCCATTCCTACTAACTCGGCATAGCCTGGGCACACAAAGGAAGAGATCTAGCAGCTCAGTCTGTCATTTAAGTTTGAAACACTGTACAGCACATGCACCTGTGTGCCTAAGCTAGTACCTGAGTAGCAGATCCTGTGTGAGCCCCAGCCAGAGAGATGTGGAAGAGAAAGTGTTAATGTCCCTTCCCACAATAAATGTCTGTGAATGGGGGGTCCTGAAACCTGAGCCTCTCTCCCGCCTCCCCCAGCCTTGACACATGTTAATAAAAGGTTTTTAAATACCAATAAAAAGGCAACAGCCCCAGCTCACTGGGGTCTGGGGCCTGTGTCCTGGGGAAGGCCCTTCACAAATGTGGTTTTTGCATTTTCACGTTTTTGGCTGGTGAATAAGATTGAGGAGAAATGCTCTTTCCCCCGATAACAATACAGTGAGACGCAGGATCAGCAGTGTGTGGATTAAAACCAGACGGTGAATGATTAATACACTTGCTTATGGGGCTAGTCACTACGGCTCCCTCCACTGAAACAAAAGGGAGCCTTTCTCTGTGCGCGTGCTCATAGGAGCATGCGCTTTGTACATGTGTGGTGAACTCACTCACCACTGGCAAGACCCCAAGTGCTCTGCCTCCTGCATGGTCCTGGAAAGGAGGCAAATCCCTGGCATGTGTCTCTGAGTGAGACACTCCAGTCTAGGGATTGGCGCATGCATGGTGGGGCATCACGCCTGCAGCTACGCTTGTCATCTTCCCTACTTGACGAATGCTCAGCTGCCCGCTATGTGCATGGTCCCCTGCTGTGGGAACGGCAAAACAGTGGGTCCCAAACCTGGTTCCATTAAGGTCCTTTGTTTCTCTTTGAAAAGTACAAGCCTCTTTTCTCTGGTTCCAGGCCCAGGTATGTTTTCTGAACTATTAATCTCTCTCTAGTCTGGCTCATATGTTCGGGGTTTCCATAACTGCTGGCCACTGCATTGGCCTCTCAGGAGTTCTCTGTTAGGCTTGGGCTAACATTAGCCCATTTAGCTAGCAGAGCATTGAGCTGCTTATTAGCAAGATGCAGTTTTCTAAAGACTTTCAGCTCTTTTTTTGAGTGAAGTAGAGTATCTGTCTGCCCAGAAAGAGAGCCCACACAGAAGGGCCAGAGGAATAGGCATTGGAATGCCTCGTGAAAACCTAGGTCCTGTCCTTCCTGAGATGACAGATCTGTGGCTAATCTTCTGAAAGCCTCCTGGGACAGAGGCAAGGACATTTACCTTCCTGAGAGTGGCTCTGAAGTTTGTTGTCTTGAGGAGGAAGTTCCCATGGGGTGGTTGGTAGAGCAATGTGAGTAATGAGTATAAAGGCTTTGGGCTCAGTTCGGCCACCCGTATGTTGAGCAGCACCTTACTCCACGAGTAATCTCATTGATGGCAGTAGCGCAAGGTGCTGCCCAGCAGGAGTAAGGGTGGCAGAATTGGGCCCTCTGTGAGGGACAGCCTCATCCCAAACAGGAAAGAGAACCCTGAGGCAAAGTGATGGACCTGCTTCCCAGCACCCTCCTGTGCATGTCCCCGAGGTGCTGTGTCTGTGCCGAGCCACACTGGAACGCTTGCTCAGCCCGTCAGAGCAAGGGGCTTGCAGTTCACTTCGGTGGGGAGGAGGGAAGCAGTGAGAACCCTAGAGTGGAAGAGTCCAAGGAGGAGTCACCTTTGAAGGACTCCTTTCATCTCTGTCTGCCTTGCTTTCCAAACAAGCATCACCAGAGCCCTGCCACACACAGCTACAGGGCAGCAGCTGGCAGCCCATAGGCTATGGAATTAAACATTGAAACACCTGCAGACCAATAACTAAACTCCACGTTGACCTCGTCCTTCCCTTTCATGTGGTATCTTTGGATCGTAAAAGGCACTGATGGTGAGTTACCATCAACGTCAGAAGTTGATGTCACTGGTAATAGAGAAGAAACTGGGTTTCACCCACTGAGAAGGTAACATGCAGAGTGTTTCCTGGCTTGAACTCTTGATCTTATTACCTGCGTTTCCCTTGAACCTTGTGTGCCAGTGATTGTCTAGACACCCCCTGAGTCACTCGGCCATTCTGAATTTGCCAGACATCATTGACATCCTTTGTTTGTGATGGG